TGGCCAGTATACAAACCTTCGGGCAAGCGCCTTCATCCGGATGACACCAGAATGTCCAGCATGGAACTGCCTAAGTACGAGCTTTTGTAGTGCCTTTGGGATGACAACACGTTCCGAGAACAATATGCAGCCGTCTCCGATGGAGATTGCATGCCTTCTTTGGTGGTACTGCTGCGATTTTGCTGATGAACATGTGCGGGACCCACTCATCCTGTTGAATTGTGCGTCCACCTTGAACAATGAACAATGATTTATCACGGGATAAAAGCAAGTGCTTGGCACGTCCCGTAGGATGGTAGCGGTGAATATGATGCAATTAAAATATGTCTGGGTCATCTATCGAACGTCTGCCGAGATGAATACTTTGATAATTGACATCAGTGTAAAATGAAAAAGAAATATCGCGCGTAAATATTCAGAAAGACACTGGGGCGCAGTGATAGTTGAGGTAAGCAGTGAGAAAATAAAATATGGTCGCTCACTTAGGTCCATTTGATACATTAGTCCTATTGAAAACATGCTTGGCGTAATCCACAACAGAGAAGCTTAGGTAACAAAATGTTGGGAGCTGAGAGCAACATCTAATCGTTTTTTGAAAACATCCAGGGTAGGAGAGGATACTACTGAGTCTGGGAGTGCGTTCCATGGTTTGCAAACCCGAAGAGAAAAGTAATTCCGTCGACACTCTAGACGGCTATATTGTTCCTGCAACTTTAAGCAGTTACCCCTGAGCTGCGTGTTGTGGCTAAGTTTCAGCAAATGGCGGCATACGTGGTTGGGGTCACTCAATATCTGATACGCTAATATGAGATCGCCGCGCAGCCTTCGATAGCGTCCGCTGAAAATTCCCAGCAATTTCAGTCTTCGGTGGTAAGAGTGATACCGCAGGCCCTTCACGTTCTTTGTTGCTCTCCGTTGTGGTGCCTCTATCGCTTCTAGGTCGCGTTTCAACCAAGGTTGCCAAGCTTGGATTGCGTACTCAACATGCGGGCGCACGTAGGAACTGAGCATCATTGGGAAGATTGATGGGTCGAATCTCCCAAATGCCCTTCGCAGCATGCCGACGTGCTGGTTGCCTCTTTTGGCAGCTACCTCAGCCTGTTTTGAACAGTTGAGGTCGCTCTGTACGATCACACCAAGATCACGTTCCTGGGAGCTATTCTGCAATTCGTTTGTCCCAAGTATGTAGGTGTAGTTATGTTTATGGCGTAATTGTACTACGCGACATTTGTCTACATTGAACGGCAGAGCGTTTTGAGTATCGGGTCACGAAGCATTTCTGTTCGTACAGCTTCTGCAGTCACTGGTAGGTCACGTAATGCGTCACTCACAAGAAATCTGACGTCCAGTTCACGCCTATGAGGCGTGACATGGCGTCCGCTTTGCCCATGGAAGCGGTTGATTGATAGCTGATCTCAAAATCATAGCTCAGCAGAGTGAGCGCCCAGCCTTGGAGACGGTTAGCCGTGTAGGCAGGGATGCCCTTCTTCGAGCCGAAGATGGCCAGCAATGGTTTGTGATCAGTCAGTAGCTTGAATCGGCGACCATATAGCATCTTAAGGAATTTCTTCAAATATTATGGCTACTGCTTCCTTTTCGATCTGGCTGTAGTTTTGCTCGGTTTTTGTCAAAGTCCTGGCCGCGTGTGCGATCACTTTCTGAGATCCATTCGTGTACAAATGTGAAAGAACTGCTCCGATCCCGTGATTCGATGCGTCTGTTGCGAGAATGATCTGAGTTTGGTTATAATGAGCCAACAGCAAGTCTGAATCCAGTAATGACTTGATTCGTTAAAGGTGCGCTGGCACTCACGTCCAGTTCTAGGCGTGGTCTTTGATCAGAAGTCTGTTAGGCGGGGCACGCAGGCGACGCAACTCAGGAAAAAAATGCGTTTTACTGACTGATGAGACCACAGAAGGAACGTAGCGATTGAATATCTGCTGATGGTGGCATCATTCTTATGGCTTCGATGCTTGTCGGATTTGGTCGACGGCCATACTCTTCAAGGACTGACTCAAGGTATTTGATGGTCTGAATGAAGAAAGTACATTTCTCTTCATGAATCCGGAAACCATAAGACTGGATACGACTAGGCATCGCCTCCAAGCGGTCAAATAATTCCTCCGTTGTTCGGCCCATTACGATAACATCATCCAGGTATGCGGCGGCTCCAGGAACTTTTGCCAACATGGTATCAACTGCTGAAAAATGGCTAGGACCGTTTTTATGCCAAAAAGCAGGCGGTTGTACTGCTACAACCCACGGTGGGTGTTAATCGTCAATAGCTCTTTCGATTCCTCAGCAACATCTACCTGAATGTATGCATCAGACAGGTCAAGCTTGGCAAAGCACCTGCCATCATTCAATTTTGCGGAGATGTCTTCCGGTAATAGCAATGGGTTTTTGTGGTCGTCGAGCGCAGCGTTAAGATCATTTGAGAAATTTGCACAAATGCGTACTTTGCCATTCGCCCACTTTCCTGCGAGAATGGGTGCGGCGTGCATGAGGCGTAGTTTACAGGTGTGATGACGCCAGTTCTTTCTAGTCACTCCAGCTATTGCTCAACGATTGGCATCGCTGCATACGGGACCGGACGTTTAGCTCTAAAGACTGGCTCGGATCGCGGTCGCATGGAGACAGCATCGCTGTGAATTTAGTGCAATGGCCCAGGCCATCTTGAAACACAGGACCAAATTTTTGTTTCAGCAGACATGCCATCGCTTCTACCGACTTCGTTGATGCTTCTGGATTCGCTCGAATTTTATTGCAAATCTGATTCAATGGAACATCCAATCTAGCCGAAACAGGTTCAAGTTGGGCATATCTGGCATATAAACTGTCCCTGTTTCTTCCACACGATTGAATTCCATTGTTCAAGTAATTTGCGCGATTAAGTTGAACACACTTCCGGATGCGTTGTGGGCTATTCTATGAGACTTGCTCATTGTTGGCTTCTTTAGGTGCTCCCAAGTGTTCTTGGAAATGATTGTGGTGTCTGACGCCGTGTCAAATTGCAGCTTTGTTGGGATACCGTTGATTTACACGATGATTAATCGTCGTCTTGGCTTTGGTTCACATTGAAATGCAGCAATTACTGAAAACGATTCTGCACCATGCTTTCGAGAGTTCTTCGAAGGTTGAAACTTCTTCGTGTTGTTCTACCGGGCCTGGCTGCAGGATTCTTCTTTATACTCACGCTCAACGCACTTTTCACAAATGTGACGTTTGAAAGGGCAGAAACGCGCAAAATACCATTCGCCGCGCGACCAGCAGGCTGTAGGTGGCTTGTTCGGGGTCCTTTTGAACGAATTACTTCGGCTAGCATTCCCAGCATTTTTCACAGCGTGAACAACATCCGATGGTGCAGTGCGACATTGTTCGATCAAGGTGGTGTCGTGCTTTAAAGTGAGCGATAGCTTACATTCGCCAACAAGAGCCTTTGCTGTTTAATTTGGGTCTTGATCCAGCTTACCAAAAATCCTCGTGCGAATCTCAGCATCACAAGGGGAATGCAGAGCACTGACGAAAATGCGACACTTAAATTAGTCATCCGTCAAAGATCGTAGCCTGTAACGCTCACACTCGCGGTTAACCACGTCAGCTAGTGCCCCATAATCGTCCTGCTCCCGTTTAACAATCTTTAGGCATTGATAACGAATGCTGAACGGAGAAGCTGACTCACCAAATATTTCACTGAGCTGTGACACTGCTTCGTCGAAAGTCAGGTCCTTTGGTTGTTTGGGCAGAATATGGTCGGTGCATCTTGAATGTTCGCTCGTGCCGAGCTTGTGAAGTAACAAACGCACTTTCCAGGAATCGTCCTAACGACCAAAGTCCGTCCAGAACATATCTTCTCAGCGTTTGAACCATGCTTCAAAAGTGCAACCGGAATCTGCGTCATAATTAAATTCACTGATCGCATTAGTGCGAAAAGCAACAGAATTCACCTGCGTGTCCCGTGTTGCTGCTCCTGCAGACTGCAAACTCAGGTAATTCGTCAAATTTTCAATCAGTTTCATTTGTGCTTCCATCTGGGATTATTGTTGCAATAATAGCCTCTGAAATTGTTCAACGGAACAATTCACAATATTTCTAGTTTTCTCCGTCGCCATTTGTTAAATACTCACTTGCTGCAATTCCGAAACTTGCACTTACACTATTCCGCACGACCACAAACCCAAACAAAGGAAAAAGTCAGAACGACCTTGCCCAAAATAAGATGTTAACCGCAGTCGAACGGGAGCTGTGCCAAGATAGCCAATGTTTGTCCAGTGCACCCACACGACAGAATCGTGATGCAGTCGATTGCTTTCATGGCTTGTGGGGCTACGCAGGTTGACAGTATTCTCGAAAACTAGTACTCAAGTGGTGACTGACACCAAGCTGCGGTAACCGCTCCGCTGCTCGTCCTGCGAGCGTGATGGCCACTTTGACCACCGAGTTCACGTGCGCACGGTTCAAGTCTGCCGCTCCCCACATTTAAGCCCCCAGGCTGTCCTCAATTTGCTGAACGTTTTTGAACACATTTCTGCGGTCGGATATCCGCAGCAATGAGGTGCACGGGCGTGTACTGCACTACTATGATCGAATTTGCTCATTAGGTGCACAAATTAAGCCTAGTACGTCTTGTGGCTTTCGGGTAAGCGCGTACACTGCCCCATGTAAATATCGCGCATACGGGAAAAGTAGGTCGGTTTGACAGCGTAGCGGTCACTGCGGCACAGTACAACGCCAGCCTCCTGGTATATAATGGTAGCTTATTGTGTCAACCAAGTGATCTGTGGACGTTCGTTCTCTGCCATCCAACTGTCGGCCGCCACATCGCTACTTTCTCGTTCCTGTTCTGCCTTTTGCGGTCCAACCATCATGCGTTTGTGTTTGAAATCTCTGTCGTTTCTGTTGGACATTGGTGAACCGCTCAGCCAGGGCATTCGATGAATGTGGAGACTTTATTTCCCAACCATTTTCCATTCAGGTTTACTGATCACTTTCCGTTTCAGATCAGCGAGCATACGTATGTGATCGATGCCAGAAATCATTCTCGCGAGCAGATACTCTCCGAACGCATCTCAGTTCCGTCCATTTCAGTAAGCATCCCGTTAGATGTTGTGGTGAACTGCAATCTGATTTGTTTTATGAGATTCTCATTGCAAACCGCAATCTGGCACATCTTACTAGATTCATCTTCAGTTTAATTGATGCTTTCTTCTTTGCTTGTACCACATTTTAGCGCCAGCTTCCAACCACATCAACTGTGTGTGTTTGCTGTTCCGCCAGCCGTTTGAAATCCATGTTCACTGCCATCATTGTCGATACACGTTAACTGATGGTGAGAAACACACCTCAGATATTGTTTCGCAATACAAAACGACAAAATACTGAACATGACAGACTAAAAAAGCTGAAAAACACCTAATATACTGCTACATATCACATTGTGCATGGAATGTGAAATTGTGGTTTGAATGGGAAGACAAGCGATAGAGGGAATGACAGAGAAACCCACAACGCAAACACCATTGAGGTTAGCTCTTCGCCATGTCAACTAGTGGATCTAAATAGACGTTTTCATCGTCTTTCGGACCCCAGTCCGGCCGTCGGGAGACACCTATGCTAACTTATAAGTGAGGGTTTTATTCCTCCTGACCAAGTTATCGCTTGGCCTCCCCACTTCTCCCATCCACATCCCCAGCGCACAAACAACGCACGATGCAGGAGTCGGTGTGTCAGCGTGTGCAACACCTGCCCCAACCATCGGAACCTGGTGCGTGCTCTAACGGTGCTTAGCGGTTCACTCACACTTGCTGCACCGAATACGCGACGTGGAACACACTAAGCTGCGAAGGCAGCGATGTTCGAATGTAACTGGCCTGTTTATATCTGTCAACCTGGTGGGCCCGGTTCTCAGCCTTACAGGAAGGTTGAGCTGATGATTGCAGTGTAGACTGTGTCCTTCAAGGCGAGAGTGATGTCGCACCGGCGCCAAACGTGGCGAAGGTTGGTGTAGGTGTCTTGAGCTTTCGCTATACATTTTATGATCTTATCTACTATTTCTCAGGCGTTAATGTAGCTTCCTAAGCACTTAAGTTTCTGAACGACATCTGATTGGTTGCCATCAAGGGTCAGCGCAGGGGTGAGTTCTTGCCAATCCTGGGCTATACTTTGCACCCTCGAAATGCATTTTGATGGAGCAATACATAGCCAAAAATGATTGGCAATCAAAGCTGATCTATCCAGTGCTGCTTGGCACGCTTGGGATCTATCACAGATAAGCAATCTCGTCGGTATACTCCAAATCAAAAGCCGATCACCTGGGAGCAGCTCCACACCTTCAAAGTCGTGCCCGGCGATCGCCTTTCTCATGAATTCGTTAATGGCGAAGTTAAAGAGGCGGCGGGCTACGTTGTCTCACACCGCTGGTGATATTGAAGGGCGATGACAGTTTGCCATCAATCCTCTGCCCGAACTATGCACGTTATTCGCTCTGATGATGTTCACATTTTTCTTGAAATCATCTTTCCTGAGCAGACGGTCCCAAAGGGCACATCGATCCACCGAATCGAAGGCATCTTTGATATCGCGAAACACGACTACGGTAGGTCACCAGTAAGCATGACGATGTTCCAGCAACTGAAAACATGGTTAATGCAGCCTCGATTTAGACGAAAACCGGCTTGATCCTCGCGAATCTGGATTTCGCGGATGCCATCCACTCTGTGAAGAACGAGCGACGCAAGTAATTTCAAGGCAATTTGGATCAAACTGTTTCCTCTATAATCACCCCATTCCGAACATGAGATACCTTTGAAAATTGGGACTTTTACGGAAACTTCTCATCTGTTCGGACTCCCTACTCCCATAGCTTCACAAATAAGTTGTGCAATTCATCTACAAGAGCTGGTTCCCCGAATTTGAAGAGTACTAGATGCAGTCTATCCACTCTTATGGCTCTTTACAATTTCAGCAGTCTGGTCTCACGTTCGATTTCTGCGTGTAATGGCGGATCCAAGGGGACGGACTAGGTAGGTAGGCAATCAGTGCTGGAAAAGGAAGATAATGTCAGGTTGATTAAACTGCATTTCAAATTGTTCGGCCCAACGCTGTAAGTATCTTGAAAAGTTGTGGACAGGCTGTCCACTCTCAACGCATATGGTATCGCTCACACCAGCTCTCTTGCTGCCCGGGCTCCGTAGCAACCAAAATAACCTACGATGGTTAACAATGGCAGCGGCTGTTTCTACCTCCAACACACGATGAGACCACCAGGCTTCGCGTTCTCTCATTTTAGGCTATCACACAGTTTTGCCCTGAGATCTTCGCGAGTCTCATTGTATTCGCTTCCAGCCGGAATACGTCGGCGTAGACACCCAATGTCCATGTTGGCAATTTGATTTGTCACATTTGTCTCATATGGCGGCCGATGAAAAATTATACGAGCTCAAACAGTCTGGACGCTAGTCGTTCTAGACACCGCGTTCCGCAACCGGTTTCCTTCTCACTTGCTTGTGTTGCCATTTGACTTTTCATCAATTTTCATTGCGTTTCTTAGTCTAGTCCGGTACTGTTGCAAGCACTCATTGACATGAGAAACTCCGTGTGGACTTAATGTTTTCATTATAACTTGGTCCAAACTTTCCACTCTGCTACCGACTTTGGTCTTGTTCGAGTTCCACTACTAGTGAGAGTTTTAGCTGGAAGTGGAACCCGACAGGTAGTGCTTCACAGTTAACCACATGCTCACTAAAGCAATGATATCCGCGAGGTACGATTCGCATATGAATTTCTAGTTCCTCTAGAGGATGCATGTGGACTCGTGCTCCCTTGCACTGAGAAGTAACAGGTCTATGTGAAACTGCAGAAGAAACTCCCTGGTAGAAACGCTGAAGGCATAGAAAAGCAGCTGCGGAACCTAAGCTGAGAGATGACACGGTACCCGGGATCCCTTCATGCTGAGTCGAACTCTAGAGCATTTTCACCACTGCCTAAAGGGTGCATGTTGAGACTACTATGGACAGTCAGTCAGGCGCATATCTGACTAACGATCTCCTAAGTGCCGCCATGGGATAAACTACGACCTCCGGTGGATCGGATGAGAGTGAAGTTGGTCAGACCAGCATATCGCAATGGAGAAACGAGATGCCTCTTCATATTAGAGCAGAATTGAGAAAAAAACCCGTCAGTTAGTTGCGTTCCAGCAGCCTTTTGATTTTGACAATTAATCTCCTGACCTGAGCCTCGGCAATCAGTGAGTAATGGTTTATTTCCGATATATATATATATATATATATATATATATATATATATATAATCAGCTATTTTGTAACAGACGAAATGGGCTTATCCTGGTGGGTCCACTACAAACAGTGCGCCAAGTTGAGTAACTATACGTCATGAATATCCGTGTTAAACACTTTTTAAATTACATGTTATGTAAAGTTTCGGTTTCCTCCCATGTCCCGATTAATACACTCTTTGAGGCGTTGTTCCGCTTCTTAGCATCTATTTAGTTGCGGCAACCCTCTTACTGATCTTTGCTTGTGCCTCGGTTGTTAGCTTGCTGAACCATCTGTGATGGACTAATCTTCTACGTTGTTTGATGGGTCTTTTGAAATAATTTACTGCATTTATCTTGAAACGAGTCAAAAATTGCTTTGAATTTTCCATGCTGTTCAATTCTTTATCGAATATCAACATTCCTGGCACCAATCATGCAGCCAGCTTTCTCATTCCCAGGATGTGAGTTAAAACGGTCTGCACCCGGCCATAGCTGATGCCCGTAGTCACTGTTATCCGAGAATTGTCTCAGTCAACATCATTCATTGAATGACTTCCATGTGATCATCACATGTCGAACTGATTACGGACGACTTTAATACCACAAGGGTTGGTCAGAATCTATCCAACTGTGTTCTTCCTTCCAAGTCTTGATGTTGTTTTACTCGATATCGTCACACACAGATGAACCTCTATTTTTTCACCCGTTTTTCTTCATGTCTTTATCTTTTCAATCATTGGGCGTTGATCATTGTAATCCAAATATTTATATACACAAACCTCCCACTTACTTCCAAGCAAACGCAAACAAATCTATACTTAGGTCTGCCTTGTTTATGGCCGACCGGGCCTGTTAAATTTAGAAGCGTTCCCCTACTTTCACCAAATTTGCCTGTTTCTACTTCCAGAAAGTAGAAACGCAAGTATGATCGCAACTTAGTAACGTTTCGTAACGTAATATGCCAGAAAATCCCGAAACATAGGCAAACAGTAGCACACCTACAGGTAGGATTTCCTCGATACTCGCCCAGAAGGCTGTTTTTTCATTTCTACTGCAATTTTAGTAATGTTAGAGCAATCGTCTCCCACTCGTGTTGTCACCATCCACTCACCTCGGGCATGATCCTCCACGGGCAGGCGCATCAGCCATCCAGTTCAATCTTTTGCTATGTGCTTATGATGAAACCATCCATCTTCTTTATCAACAGCAGTTCATTATCCATCTGAACTGCTAGCTCGCTGCCGCCCAACTAAAATGCTCTAGGAAATACAAAAGTGAGATCTAGCGTAGAACCCCAATGTCCTAAACAAATATTCAGGGTCATGACGCCTACACCTTGTCAACAACATACCATCACAAACAGCAAAGACAAGCCGACATCGGTAAGACAACTTCCTTGAGGCTTTTACTGCCCCGCGTCATAATAAACCGTTATCCCGCAGATAACTCAGCACCAAACACACTTTAACCAGGTAGCCCGACGATAGCAGACATGCTACTAGTGTCGACTGCGAGCCATGTCCCGTAGCGTCTCGAACCAAGCACAAGGCAAGATGGACCGACAACACAGAGTTTGGTCGTCAGTGACTTCATTTTCCACTGCCACACCGAGTCTTGCACCACCCTTCATCCGGCAAACAAAGCAAGTCGCTGTTCGGTAAGCGGTAGTCGGTGTTACAGGCCTAAGTCAACGCACGGGCTCTTTCAACGTTCGCACTGTGTCAGATCGCCCACTAGGCTTCTCCATCTCTCTCTTCCCTGGCATTAATATGCGACGTGCCACTGAAGCACACATGCAAACCTATATCGTTTTAATGCACTTCTGAGTACTTGATTCAAAAGTTACCAACCGAAACTCGTTCTACGGAGGGATGCGACACATGTAACATTACGCGTCCGTCGTTTCTTCAGTATCCCACCGACACCGCTGCCTTTGCAGCTCCACAACTGAGCAACTGCTCCCTCCCTACGGTTCACGTTTGGATTATCTGAAAACTCATCATCCAAGCGAATTAGGAGTTGATCTATCGAGCGCACTTGCTCATTGTTTGCTTTCGATTTATTTCGTAGCTGTTAGGCTCGACGATTCGGTGCCTTGAAAGTACAGCGTTGTTGCCGCACTCTGGCCATGAACTTTTCTCTCATCCACTGCTCTACTGTTAGTTCATGTGCAGGAGGTCGCTGATCACGTGAGGCGTCCTATCTGACACCCTCTCACCTTATTGTCAGCTGTCTTGCCTGTATTGTATGGCTTGAGGTTTGATCGATTCACGGTTCGGTGCCGTGGAGTCTGTTCTGACGGCTCTACACCCCAACAACAGCGGTTATGACAGAAGGTAAACATATCCTAATAAAGCGATTTGCTGAACACTACTTGTCATTCATCAATTGATGAAAACTAAGCGTCTGAATATATGGAGATGCCCATAATCGAGGTGCGGTTGCCGATCTCAACCACCTATGGCGCCGGCGTAACATCACTCTCGTGCTGCGGGGTACGGTTTACAATGCAGCCGTCCGTTCAACCCTGCTGTACGGTTGTGAAACCTGGCCCATTAAGTCGACAGACAGACCGAGGCCTTCGTTGCTTAGCTCATGTCTGGCGAGAATACCGCGAGACCAATGAAGGTGTTCGGCGTCTTGTATTTGGCACAGGAAAAGCGAGTGATTCGTTCATCACAGTTATTTCATGCACCAGGCTCCGATAACTGTTGCACACGCCGGCACACTAACTCCCGCGTCGTGCGTTGTTTGCGCGCCGCGGGTGTCGATGGAAGAAGAACTGGGGAAGCGAAACGGTGACTTGGTCGGTTAGTGTCTCCCGACTGCCGGTCTGGAGTCCGAAAGACGATGAATACGTCTGGTTGAATACACTTGTTAACATGCCGTTTGTACTGCGAGTTTCTTCCCTCCAACCACAATCTCACATTCTGTGAATAATATGGTACTGAACATTATATGCGATTTTTGTTTTTGTAACCTGTAGTGTTTAGTATCTCAACTTATTGCGGAACAAACACATCGTGTATTGATGATGTTGCAGCCCATCATCGAGACAGATTCACGATCTTTATTCAATTCGCTTTGGTCTACTTGGCGACCTCGTCGGGCCAGCGACCATGTCCTAGCTCACTAGAGGTTAAAACCTCTATTCTCAAGCACTGTATGGGCTATTGTCCGATTGGTAAGCGTTTACTGGCCACACCTGATAATTTGGACACGTGACACTGAATGTGGCAACAAACGTTGAATACGTCGCACTAGCTGAGTGCAGGTGAAGGCTGCCTTGATCTTACCAGCATCTACCGATTCAGTCGCTCTTTCGACCTTGATGAGTACTCCTTCGGAATTGGAGCGGAAGAAAGATTGCACCATCGTCAATGAATTAAAAGCAATAAGAACAGAAGTGTCTAACATGTGAATGACCTGTTGCACGAATCAACTTGCGAACGTTCTATGCTCATTGTACCTCTTGAATGATCATTTGATGCTTTGAAACTGGAACCACAATTATCCACTGACACCAGTTACTTCGCGCATTCATCCTCTTAGGTTGCTATGAAAAAGCCAAGCCATTTCTGTACTAGTCTACCTAGCCGGATGAAGCTCTTGTGTCAAGAGCGAAACGTTGCCGCAATACAAGCCTTGGAATAACCGATTTGTACTTCAAAACCTTTCGAGATTATCTTTGAACCCGTTTCATTCGATTGGATTTTCACAGAAGTAGGCCCTCTTGGATTCCCGTCGTGACTCCACAGTGATCTGTGTACCCGTTTCCGTCACTGCTTTGCAATACCACCATCCTACGTAGTAGTTACTCTCGGTGAATTATGATTAAAAAAACTGATGGATGAAGTTGTTCAGATACCAGTCATGTACCGATTTGTGTCAAACCACTAAAATTAACTGTTTATCCATCTCGACTTACATTTTATTCGAGGGGTCAAAGGCTTCATGCAACGCGATGGTTTATACGAGACAGCAAGGGTGAGACAAGCAGATGCTGCCGGATCTATGCATTACTTTCTCTTTGTCAGTTTGTAGCTTGCAAAATGTCAATGTGACCGTGTTTTCGGTAACCTGTGATCAAGTGCATCACCTTTTTTACGCCTCGTATGACTGAAAACATCCTGCTTTTTTGTTCCAGAACAACGAACCCACACCTGTGAGTATTGTCAGGAATCTTTTTCTCAAAAGGTTCACCTCAGCACCCACATAAAGTCCGTCCATTTGAGTGAGTCCAGTGTTGAGTGCGTCGTTAGGTCCCATTTTTTTGGTTTTTTTTTTCTTAACCAACAAACTGCTATGTCCAGCAAGATCACTAAAATGAATCACCTCTATATCTTGACCACCTCTCCAAGTTGACATCTTTTTCTCCATTCCTTGAACGTTCGTCATGTGTACCTTATGGATTCAGACCTCTGTATGTTGACCCCTTTGATCCATTCCCTTGGGTGGTGGATTTACCGAGAATGGCAATCTTCAAAGTCAACCGAGGCCATAATTGAGATGGCGTATCGTAATCCAGGACACACGGCGGGTGCTCCCAAACCCGACTATCAACGACTTCTAATCGCTGTGTCGAGCTGTGCTCGCGGAGCTCAATGGTGATGACCACCAACCACTATGTGCCGAGCAACTCCCAATTCAGGCTATCTCTACCTGATGAGTCCGAACCAGGACGAAATCGTCGGTCTTAGAGTGCAGGGATACGAGGAGAGCAACTTCGAAATCCTCCACTTCGGATACGGTCCCAGTGATCAGATTGGCACAGACTGCCTTCAAAGTCAACCGAAGCCAAGATTGAGATTGCGTGTCGCAATCCAAGACACACGGTGATTAATCCAAAACCCGACTATAAATATACGCAGCTGCTTTTTAATGTGTACCGTAGTTGCATACTATATAGTATGGTGTGGACAGCCAGCCGCCTTGTGACCTTTGGGATGGGTGTGCCTTAGGTCTGCCGTGCTTGGCGATAAAATGGCTCAATTCATTTGATCAAACCATCACCCAAACCGCGTTTCTCTTACTCCTATTGCGACTCCAAATTCATCTGCGCACCCTCCAGACACAAATCCACAATGTCGTCACCACCTGGTCTCTCTGCCTTTGCACTAGACGTATGACTACCTCCGATGGGCTACGGAAGAGAGCTGCTCATACACGAATGAGTTGCTTAGACATTTAACAGCTGTTCACTTAAGCACTGCATCCCTATACATGTCAGTGTACTAGACGGCATATGTAACTTTTTCCAATTCACTGTTGCACGAAATGGATTTGCAAAGTCTCGGTTAATGCGAGAGAGCATGTCTGAGGTGGCTCATTTACCTACTCTCCAACAGTTGCTAATTACAAACGTATTCGGGGGGAAGGGGGCACTTGCGACAACACTTTGTCATTTTACCGAAACTTTCTTTCTCTTGCACTGTGTATTCTTATCGGTATATTTTTTTCTTCCAGAGCAACGGCCTTACACTTGCGAACACTGTACAGCATGCTTCTCAAGAAGAAACATCCTCCGAACTCATGTTTCCACTGTTCATCTGAGTGAGTGTGATGTTGGTTGATCGGCACTTTTTCTTCCTAAGCAGCTGCCTTATGAAAGTAATCGCAAATTAGATTACCGTTTCGATAAAATAAGAGTACGACACACTTGAGCTCTGCTTGCTCGTATCGACACGCCCACTGCATATGTGTTCGGTGAAAACACCGATATCGAAACAATGCGCCTCCGGTTGCTTGTAAAATACACCTGAAGCTGTTCTGTGCACTGACCGAAGTATGGGTATCCGAATCGAACTACTTCCAAACCGGTTGCGCAGGAAAGCAAGCCCGTCTAAGTATTCTCGAGACACTTACTGTACACCGGTCACCAGGTCAAGCCCGCTGCATTATTCACAGTTCTTACGCACAATCAAAGGTCTCAGCCTGAAGCTGCTTCTAGCCATCGTTATCGATCGGGCGCTGCTTCCGCTTCGCGCACAAAGCTGCTAACACTGGTATTGAATTCACCGTGATAGCACAGAGCACACCAATCGATGTTACGCGACCTTGCTCTTTAAACCTTCATTGCTTGTATGTGCGTGATTGAGGAGAGCGACTGAAGTGACAATAGCATCTCTTCATCTGGAATTTTCGCTTTAATTGTGCCATAGTCACAAATTGCTTGATATTTTTAATGCGCCTTGCTTCAGTATATGACACCAGCTGCGTAAAATGTACCTCTTGTGGCACGTTTTTGGTCACAAGCTGCTCCGGTTGCATTCGAGTGTGTCGGATACTCAGTCGCGCTTGGTGCAAACTAAGCCCGGTTGCTGGTTTCTTTTTAAATGTGTGAATTACTTCCTGAGCTCGCTGGATGTCTTTTTATGTATCACTTTCTGGAGTACAGTCAAAGACACGATGCACTTTACATTCGCTACACTCAGTCAAATGCAGCATTAACTGACCGGTATCTTGACATTTAAGCGCATTACTTTTTGAGCAACGTAGCCCAGCGCCAATTCCTCGGATCACAGTCTCCAGAACATAGGTCCATGCAAAGAGGTGAATTCAATATTCCAGGCGGCTGCTACGTTTGTACCCTTTGTGGAACGACGACTCGTACTTCAGCGCATCACTTCACACTTCGAGCATGAAACATTTGCTTTTTGGGTGTGTGACCCGTGGTGTGTAATTTTCTCGGTATCTTTCTGGATATGGATGTATGCACTGAATTTAACTTGTACGCTGCTTTGTTGCTTGAGCGCACACAGAACTATCAATGGATGCTGATGATGTTTAGACAAGACTTTCCCGTGACTTTTGCCTATGCACTCACGACGACCACCTTTTGACCTCTTAATAACCACTTCGCCTCACTTTGTTCTGTCACTCCGTGCCACTGGATCCGGTGGGTAACGCCTTTTGTGTCATTAGTCATCCTTTAGGGGGTTCCCAGCGAACCCCACTCGTTCATTTGCAGGTTTTGCAAGTATGCTCTTTCTTGTTTTTGTGTACTCTTGTGGATGACTTTTCGAATGTTTGATCCTCTTCCTATACTTGAACGAAAGCTGAAGCAAACATTGTCTGTCACCCTTCGTCGGTCTAAAGTCATCCGTGTTCCACAGCGCCGTAATCACCAGATCGGTCTGTATTTGCATACTGGACAATCGGCTGAATTAAAGCTACGCGTATGAATGAGTACTTCATACTTTAAATTGTCTTCAATCAAGAACGTGAACGCACCGTCACAGAATTACCTATCAACCGCGGCTTCAGTGTTATCTAGTGGGTCCAGGCAATTCAGCGAGTGGGTGATGCTATGTGCATCGGAACGCTTGTGACTACAAGGGGAGGCATCTGCTTCCCATCATCAATTGACAGATTGAAAGTTGTCCATATCATTTCATTTCTGGTAGCCCATTGTGCTTTTTGCCAGACTTGATTTATTCCCTCGCTTTTTCGCATGACTTTCTATCTCTTGTTTTTTTTCTCCTCAGAGCAACGCGTTCACACATGTGACTACTGCGGGAAGTCGTTTCCCCTCAGTTCTCACCTGCTAGAACATATGGCCATTCACCTGAGTAAGTGTATCATCAAAATGTGATTTTCCACTTCAGTTAGCTATAGCAACACATTGCTCAATCACTTGTTTTGCTCCATAGCACTAATATTTCTCACTGACGCTAAGACACTTCCCAGTGAAGCTTATCCGATCATTATGTACGTTTTATTCAGAACTCTTGCTGTGCACACAGGTTGTTCTCCAATAGCTAGAGATTTCAGTTCATCTGATTCCAGATATCGACTAATTATTTCCTCCGAGACTGTGTTGCGCGTCAGCGCTAATAATCTCATCAAAACGTCGGAATGGGTTAACTTCTCCGAAGCTGTAAAGAGGAAGAGGGTTTGTGGATCAAACATTGCATATGAATTGCAAAGTGGGAACTTAAAAGTAGAAATGTGCTGTAGATTATGGAATAAATGTCTACAGAGCATACAGCGTAATCGGCACATTTCCACAGGATTCCCACGAGAAACATTTCACTAATCACCACGGCTGTGTGAAACGCTTGTTGACTAGTTGGCGCAATGTAATTGATTACCGAGGATGTGCGAGTAGTACGCTCATGAAAAGTATGTAGCACACTAAACCGATAAACGGACTGTGCTTAGAACTTGGATATGGCAGGGCCAGGCGAAGTTCAAGGTCTGAGCACTATTTTTACCATTGCACCGGTTGTTTCACTGGTGAATAATAGAGTCAAGTAAAAGCGATGTGAAGTATTGTGGGACAAGTTGAAGACGTAATGAGAGGACCTGTGTGTTCTATCTGCCAATGCATCAGTTATTCCACAAACGAATGACAAGTGTAAGCAGTAGGGGAATTTATTAGGTTTTGTGTATGTTCATCGCAGTTAGACACAGGCCGACAGCCACCATACATCCAGGAAAGCGCTAGACGGCCGTTTCGTCCCATTGGGACTCGTCAGTAGCGCGCACCCGCCGAATCATGTCGGATTCGAACCCACGACCTTACCCTCAGGTGTGTAAGGCGATAAAACGGGATTGATTGGTGCAGAGTTACTTAACTGGATTTGCGAGTCCAGCCAACCAGATACCAGCAGAACCAAGTAAAATCAACGTAAAAGATTGAAGGTCAAGATAGGTTGAAGAGGATGTGACAAAGCATTGATGTCCAGTTCACCAATGAGACAGTTGGGCCACTAGTCGGCGGGGAGCCTTCGGGCCAGAAGGAGCTAGAAAGTGCGATAGAACATACAGATGATTTGAGGCTAAGTAGGTGGTTTCTGTTGGTCTGACTAATACGATCCTTCACAACTTTCCGTTCTAAACTGTTTGGACCTTGCTCATACACTGGTGAATAGTTGTGGAGCAGCCTAGAAGTGTAATTACCTTGACGACTGTCATGTATTTTCAACTATTTTACGAAATATGTCCTCCCTTACATTGACAAGGATATCGACTGGCAATTTGTTCCCATATTCGGGAATACCCCGATTCAAAAAAATTTGTCTGTACATTTGTCTTTGACATTTTGTCAACCACAGCATTTTCTTTATTGCCTGTAGTGCAACCAGTGTGCTTTACGTACGTTTTGCAGAATGTTGTAAGGCAGCGTTGGGCGTATTGGGTCAAATTTAAGTAACGCACATCGCTCAGTGTAGGATAGCGTTGATCTGGCGCCTAAGAGCCGCTTTGGAAACGATTGCTGCTTAAGAGAGAAAATCTTCGAAGCTCTCCACTTCGGATGCGGTCCCAGTGATCGAAATGGCAGAGATTTGTTTCAAAGCAAATCGTGGTCTCCATCGAGATTGCGTATCGCAATTCAGATACGCAGCGGGCAATCCAAGACCCAACAGTTAGCTAGCTGCACTTGTGCACTTGCGGTACGATCATGCTTCTTTGAGTTGCTCTATACCATGTGCGCTGTGTTCCCCAAATACAGAATGCTTGTGTTCACCTGTGAAGGATTGTGGGCCGACTCCGTTGATGAAACGCGGCTCCCGTCCACATGCCTCCCGGTCTTCTTCCTGCGGGTATACACCAGGTTGTGTGGGTGGAGCTGTGCGTGGTACAGCGCAAGACACCCATGGTCCCTCTGTAGACGCAGGCGTCCTGTGGCTGTCCCCGTGGAGGCCACATTGACAGGCAAATCCGGACACGGATGCCGCCAATCCAATCCATACCATGAAACAATATTTGAGTATAGCGCGAGCATACGATTCATGTATAGTACGAATAGCGCCTCGTACGGTACATTTTCGGAATAGCAATGCGGTGCGTTATTTTACCCTATCCGTTGCATGATACACTTGTTCTGAACAGTTAAGGGATCATGAGTTGCGATGCTCTACGTCACGAGTGGGGTGAGCAAGCGTATGCGATTTGTCGTCAAACTGTCAATGGCATTGTAGTTAATGCAGCACTCATATGACATGGCGCTGCATTTGTCAGTATTGAATGGCACTATCCACGTGACGCCCCAACTTTCAAATACATAGAAGACCTTGGCCTTACTCATTGGGAGGCTATATGCCATCGGGCTTGTTGTGTATTCCCCTACACATTGCATCGAACGCTTGTGCATTAGTATGTTCAGCTAATCACTTCATTGTGGCCTATGCACTTTGGAACACTACACATCTGTCGACGTTTTTCTCCCACTCTGCTCAGATATCTTCTTTTGGTCAACTTTTGGTGATATTGTCATACTTGTTATTACAGAGGGTCAAATCTACAGATGCAACTACTGTGATAAATGCTTTTCTCAGAAGGGTAACATGCGATCACACGTTAAGGCGGTGCATTTAAGTGAGTATTTGTTTGATATCCTTTTCTGTTTTTTGACCTGTTAAACCCTATTCTAGTTTCGCTGGCTTTTATTCATACTGCGCTGAAACTGCTCTCAACAGGGTTGTATAAATCTTATCTTCAATTTACTATTACATATACGTTCTACAGGCTGACGACATTCTAATTCACATGGACCTTCGCGTCGGATATACTATTGCCCATGTTTCCATATTTATCCATGCGTCCTGGTCGATGATTTCAGGGTTCCACACTGCTCATTGCTTAGTGACTGTTGACATCGTTGAAACATTCGCGAAGGTATCGCTGCTGTACTAGGTGAGTGCTAGGCACGGGGGAGAATTCTCTAGAACTGACACAGGGATCATCATTCATCATTATACACGTCAGCTAGAGGTGGGAAACACCTCAGCTACTGTGCCGCAATACATAAATGAAAAATAAATACAAAAGTTGCCTGCCAGCTGAGCTACCAGCAACGGATAGGCATCGTTCCGGTAAGCTACCAGCCGGCTACTAGGCAAAAAGAGAAATTGTCATGTTTTACGCTAAGAAATGAGATCGTAGATGGAGGGGGAGGCTAAAACGGATGGGGAGGGACAAAGAAACTCACAGCAGGAACGCCACTGAGGTCGGCTCCTTGCCATCTCAGCAAGTGTATCCAGCCAAACGTGTTCATCGTCTTTCGGACCCCAACCAGGGAGCCGTGACGCTCCAACCGAGGCCAGCACAGAAGTGAGGGCCTTCATTCCTCTTGACCAAGTCATCGCTTGGCCACCCCTCCTCTTCTTCCATCCACATCCCCGGTGAGCAAACAACACACGTCGTGGAAGTCGATGGGCTGGCATGCGCAACACGTGGCCCAGCCATCGGAGTCTGGTGCTTGAAATAACGGTGCTGAGCGGTTCAGTTCCTTTTCCTGTGCCGTAAACAAGGCGTCGAAAACGCTCGTTACTCACGCGGTGTTCCCACCAAATATGAGCCAAACTGCGAAGGCACCGATGATCGAACGTAACTAGCCTCTTCATGTCCGCCGATCTTAGGGCCCAGGTTTCACAACCGTGCAGTAAAGTCGAACGTACCGCTGCATTGTACACTCTACCCTTCAGGGCGAGAGTAATGTCGCGAAGACGCCATAGGTGGCAAAGGTTAGCAAAAGCACTTCGAGCTTTTTCTATCCGGTTCATGATCTCGTCTTCGATCCCAAGGGCGCTGATACAACTTCCCAGGTAGTTGAATTTCCGAACGACTTCTAGCTGATCCCCACCAAGGGTCAGCGCAGGAGGCTATCCCTGCCAATCTTGGAGGAACGCTTTGCATTATTCAATGCAAGCACTCTATGCAGCGAAGAGATTTCTTTTCAGCAATTATCATCAGGCGATTAGACATTTAGGAACTGGTTACAGCATTTCAATAGGCTTGTGAAGCTAGGCAAGCGTTGATCCACGTCAACGGAATACGACTCTAAATCGTTGCACTTTTGTTCAATGCAAACTTTGTCACGCGGATTAGCGCGCGACTATGGTACCCGTATTGAGAATATTTTATTTCCCATGCTGTAACGTACGGCGTGCTGCAATTGAGTGAGTAGTATCCACGACTCAAATCAATAGGGAAAATGAATTTAGCTTCAAACTACGTACTTTCATCAAGTCTGCTATCTGTGTCTTGCAGCGTTCCGGATCAGTACGTCGGCTTAGCGTCCAGAGTCGATCTTGTGGAGACGTGCTGAACGTGTCTCAGTGCTGCTGTCTCATACCTTCTTGTCACGCACAGTTAGTTTACCAGAGACACCATTTGATACTCACAAATGAAGTGGTAAAGTTCTTTTCGATAGCGAACTCCATTCTGTAACTGCAGCCTGCGCCTTTCGAAGCATGACCCGTCGGTACAGGGAATCGAATATGCACACCACTGTTGTGTTATTGGCGGACACGTGCGAGCTACTATAAATGAGAATACCAGAGGCTTCGTTGGCGCACATGAGGAATAGTATTGTTCCCAGTTCATCCCATTGAATGGATGCCATTTGCTGTGCGGCTGTGGCAATATCTATGCTTGCCAGCTATGATTGCTTTGTCACTATTATGAAAGTCCAGTGAGAATCACGAGAACACTGATGTCTGTCACGAATTTCTCGGTCCAAAACATTTGCATGCCAGGTAATTAATATTGCATACCCCAACCTCATCGAATGGGTATGTGATGTGGTTCCAGAGGTCCATGTGACCAGTGTCTACAAGAATTCTGTTCATAAACTCGTGTTGCGGTAGCCTGATAAGATTCCCTGATGACAAAAGCAGTGATGTATTTATACTTTGCAATATTTTCCATAACCTTTTTGGAGTGTGGCTAATCGAAAAGCAGTTCGCTACGTCACGTTTCTAACCTTTTCTATCTCATCGTATTGCACCTTCTAGTCTCTGATGAAACGGATCCGTGCTGACTCATTGCTAAGGCATAAACATGTTCTGATGCGAACTAAAGGTCGCCGTATTTCAGTATAGCTGGGAGAGTGCCATTAAGGTCCTCATAGGGTGTCTGTCTAACTTAAACCGCTTACGTTGACTAGCTCATTTTCTCCGTATGCTCGCTGAGCGCCGTCCTCGGTGTGCATTATACGCCGCGGCTGGGCCGAGTTGGACGAAACCGTGAGGTGGCCAGTTGGTGACGTACCATAATGGCGTGAAGTAACTGACTGAGAGAATTCCTCAGTCCAAACCATGTCGTCTTCTTGGATGGGGGCCCCGTCATGTTCCACATCGGTGGTTGGTGACTCTATCAGATGTTGTGAAGTCACGCAGTCTCTGGCGTTCTTGCATCCAGTTTCTTGCATCTAGCTGTTAAATTTCGTTCTATCTCAATTCGTTTGACTCACTTCATCCATGACTCCATTTTCTTTGCATTCTCTTTGCGCTCAAGCCCATTTTCTTGCCATTGTTGTTTGTTGTTACTCTGGCGGCACAAATCATGACAACAGGATCCACCACACTTCGGCGCTCTGATCATAGTTGTTTAGTCGCACTGAATTGAACCTATAGTACGATGTCTTCAAGTCGCTCATGGACTTCGTGTTCCTGCAGTCTGAAAGTGTATCATCCCCAGTGCCTTCTTTGTTATCAACTTTCCTGTTTGGCTGTTCGTGTATGTGTGTGTTGTCATTAGAAGTTGAACAACAATGCGGACATTTCGGTTGCCATAGATTCTGATTTACCAATGAACGTGATGCTCTGTCATTTCCGCATCCTCCTCCCGAGCATCTTTCTGATTTTCTTCGGTCTATTTGAACGGATTCGCCACGCCTCAACATCAGACCTGAATGTATTTTGACAAGAGCAGGCGGTTTCCACGTCACTCGAAGGTAGAGCAATTAGTTTCCGGACGCACAACAACTTTATTTTTTACAGCATGAACATTACATTTTCTCAAGATACTCTCTACCAGCGGTCCTACTCAATTCCATGCGCTCAAACCATTCGGAGAAGCAGCTTGACCATGCGGAAGCAGTTAATCCTTCAAGCAGCTCAATAAGGGCCTCTACTACAGTTTCTAGAGACTCGTAGCGTATTCCACGCATCATATGCTTGACCTTTGCGAACACAAAATGTCACACGGAGCCAGGTCTGAACTGTAGAGCGGGTGACCTACCTGCATGCGTTCTCTTGTCAAAAATATCTACGACGACATTGGACTTGTGTGCAGGTGCGTTGTCATGATGCAGCAAGGTCCCTCGTGCTCGAGTTCTTGAACGACGCCTGGCTACAGCTTCCAGCACTTGTGACAGACACTTGGGGGCATACCAATCTCCGGTAACTGTGCATTACCGTACGAGCAGTACAGTAGCCACATGACTGGTCTTGGCCACGACACAGCCACCAACTGCTTGGCCACGCTGCGCTCACGCCGGAATTTCTGAGGTAGCGCCCCACCAACAGCCGTCCACTGAGTCCTTTGTTTGCGATAAATCGGAACACTTGTAGCTTGGGTTGACTGTTCTGGTTTTCGTTTGTTCTCCAAGCTGAGCAATTGGGCTGCAGACGTTTCGTCACCAGCCGAGGTGACATCCTCAGTGCCTCACTGCTTAGCGTACAGCTCGTTGAGTGCGTCGTCGGCTCTTGATCGATGGGCAAGTGACGTTTGAAATTGGCCTCTTCGCTTCATATCGTGTGACCTTCGATTGTTTGTTGTTCGGCCGCCATGGCTTCCTGTCTTATGTTAGGATTTCTAACCCGTTCAATTACTTTCTTTCTCAATGGTTGGTACACCGGGTCTAGGTCTATACACAGGCTTATGGAGTGTTGCTTGATCTCTGCGTCGAAACTGTGCACCCAAGTCTCATCACCACTGAGGATTTCCCAGACAGCATTAAAACGCATGCCATCAAACCTGGCAAGTCCGGTGCGGCACAAATTCACCCTAGCTGCTTTCTGGTCCTGTGTTGACAGGGTACCCCATGCGCACAAACCTTTCTGAGCCCGAGGTTTCCATGTCATCATCCTTATACTCGTTAGCTAGAGGTGGGAAACACCTCAGCTACTGTGCCGCAAAGGTCCCCATGTAGGATAGTGCGGATGGATCCCGGTGAGATCCCAATGGCTTTCCCCAGCTGTACCACAGTCACTCGCGCGTCTTCTTCCAGCACAGCTTGCACAGCAGCAGTGTTATCCGCGATGGTGGCCTCCACAGGTCGACCACACCGTGCCTCATCATCCGGGGACCACCTGTCACGCTTGAAATCCGCAAACCACTCAAACACATTGATTCTTGATGGCGCATCATCACCAAATGTAACACGCAATCGCTCAAAACTCTGGTGCTGCTTTAAACTACATTCGTAGTCATAGGAAATTATAGCTCTCCAGTGACGTCGACTGAGTTCCTTACTTACAGAGTGTGGCGACTCTTATGAATTGTGAGCTGTGCTGGGCTGCTGTTATAGGGTTCTGTGAGTTGAAATCACTGAACAATGTTCAGAATGGATTACAGTTCACGTCATGTGCACCTTATCTGTGTACTGCATATCCGAAAACTTATTGCTCTGTCCTCGTGTTGGACCAGTGTGCATTGAGCTCACCAAATCACTTGTATTTATCTTCGATTTGTTCGCAGTGCCGCCATCGAGTGGCTGTTCTGACGAAACTTCCTGGAAATAAGTATCGCAACCGTTTCGAATGAGTAAATGCACGTGTCACTGTCCGTAAAATCTTAATGTCTAATAGATTTCTGGTGGTGACTTTAACTTTATGCTGTCTATACCATTTTCCATTGAAGTTGGACATTCGGGCAAAACCTTTACGCCTGGGGGTCAACGGGGTTGCTCCTCCGGTGCAATCAAGTTGAGTCTTCGCTATGCGAAATAGAACCACTCACTGGCATGGTAGGGGTCCATGCCACCGATATGCGTCTGAGGTCCTATTTGCTGAAGGCGCTTGGCCAATGAAACAGCCCCTACCATGCCAGTGAGTGGTTCTATTCCGCATAGCGAAGACTCAACTTGATTGCCCCGGAGGAGCAACCCCGTTGACCCCCAGGCGTAAAGGTTTTGCCCGAATGTCCAACTTCAATGGAAAATGGTATAGTTGCAATGGCCAGACGGAATTAAGTTTCGCGTAAGTGCTAGGTAAACACATTCTGTTGTGTCTTCGTTTCCCACAAAATAATCAATGGCAGAGTATGAAGCTCCTCGTAACTACGTTTTGCTCTTGCTCTAACTGACGACATCCTGTTTTCTTTTTCAGATATGCGGCCTCACACATGCGAGCACTGTGGAAAATCCTTTTCCAGAATGAGCGTTCTCCGAGTCCACATCGATTGTGTTCATTTGAGTGAGTGCAACATTCAGTGCTCCGTCAACCTTTATCTTTTTGATCTAACTGTGCCTTAGAGACCGACTGTTCATGTACTTTACCCCGGCCTTTGCTATTAGCCGCCTAATTTCTGTTCGGTTCCCCTCTCTGTCCAAACCTGACCGGCACAATGTCGCCATATGCGAACCGAAATCATCTGAGTATTTACAGTACACACGTGTGCACTACTTCATTTGATATAGTTGATGCTGTTATTTCCCTTCTTTTTGTCACTTTATATTCAAACTCCGAAAGGGTGTAAACTCATGGCGCTCCTCGCCTGTTGATTACTGTGATACAATATGCTGACATTCGAGAAATCTTGAATAGCACAATAAGAAGACGACTGTTGTAAGATAGTACCGTTTCGTGCCCTCTGTTCACTTTCAAACGGACAACATATCAAATGATAACGTGCCAAAAAGAAATCAGCTAAACGAATGTACCAACAACTTAGTTTACTACGGTCGATATGTTGATGACATATTTCGTGTTGCGGATGGTCGAGTATGCATCGAAGATTATCTAGCCCACTTCAACGCTGCATACAACAACATAGTGTTCACTAAGGAACTTGAAAGTAGCAACTCCTTGTCAAGCTTAGTTGTCCCGCATCATCAGGACATCAGACGGGACAGTACAAAGGAGAGTACACAGGAAGACAACTTGGAGCGGCCAGTATACGCATTTCGCCAGTAACGTTCCAATGAGTCAAAAACGAAACCTCGTCCATTGTCTAAAGGAAAGAGCGAAGAAAATATGCACGGAAGACACGCTGTCGGATGAATTGAATTTCATCCGAAGCGTTTCCGAACAAAACGGTTATCAAGACAAATTCATCGGGAGGCACATGGAGCTACGAGCACCAAACGTCCAACCAATCGCCGCAAAAAGCGCTTAAACTACTTGTCACTGCCTTTCAAGGGTGATTTGATAGCGGAACGAACTACTCGAAGGCTCTGCAATACAACCGCGCGAACCTATTTTGCAGCTGACCTCCGTGTCAGCTTCACTTCTACGTCAGTCTTGAGTCAGCATCTCAAAGACAGGATACCGAGGTCAAATTTTTCCCTTGTGTGTGTACCTTTTTTTGCTCGTGTCGAGCAAGTTACATTGGAAAGACGACCAGGCGACTGTCTAAGAGAATCCGGGAACAGTGTCCGGCGTGGCTCTACACTGGTGTCGAAAAGACAGTAGGCAGCGCGGTGCTGTGGCATTTGGTCGACTCAACTCACCATGTGAATGTGCCAGAGGCCTTCCGGTCTAGCTACAGAATATTTGGACGCCACACGCAAGCCCCCTGATGTCGCCTATTAGCCGCAGCGGAGGCAATCGCTATTCGGCTCCATAACCCCGACTTATGTGCTCAAAAGAAGTGTGTACAGGCTCTACAGCTACCATGGCCTCAAGCTTCCCCATGTAATGACGCCACGCTTAACCCTTCCACTAATGTTGCCCTAGCCAGTGTCGTCACTTGATCTCATTGACCGGTCAATTCACTTCATTGATTCATCGTATTTAAATACACTGTGTTCGTTTTATTCCTATTTTCTGTGGTGTATTGGCCTGATGCGAACCACCGAAAACAAGCTTGTTCGCCTAGCCGTCTTTTGATTCTGATGTCATCTCAAGGATTATTTTCTCAGTAGCAATCAATAAATTGAAAGCATAAGGTCACATGTAAGCGAAGTAAACGTTGGCTACAGGTTGAGGAGGAATTGTTAACTCCAAATGAGGTTGAGCGTAACGAACAGTTGTTTCTGGACGTACAATGTTGAAGAATGCTATTTAATGTCCACTGCCTCGGCGAACTTGAGGACTCTGGCGTTTGTGTTACAATGGATGACACTAAACACCGAGTTGGGGTCCACCTGATGACCCGTTTCCATCAGGTGTTTGACAGTCGGACACACAACACAACCCAACAACAGCAGTGCATCAGCCATTTGAACTGGTGCTTCGATGCCATGTAACCATGATGACGTAAAGAATAAGGAATAATAATAGGGTGAGAATGGGGATTTATCTGATAACCTTAATCCCCTGAGCAAACAATCAGGGGAAAGGAGCCTACACCTAGTGTTAACAACATACCGTCACAAACAGCTGGCTATCGTGCAACGATAAGGCGGCATCCGCTAGACAACTTCCTTGCGGCTTTCACTGCCCCGCGTCATATTCAGCCATTACCCCACAGATAACTCAGCACCAAACACACTAAACAGTCAATCGGATTAGGAGACAGCAACAGACTCGCCACTGGTGTCGGTTGCGAGCCTTGTCGCGTGAAGTCTCGAGCCAAGCACAAGGCGAGTCACGTGGACTCCAGCCCGGGAGGCGAGACGGATCAACGACACGCAGTTTGGTCGTCAGTGACTTCATTTCCCGCTGCCAAGTCAACTTCTGTCCACCTCGAGCCTTGCGCCACCCTAAACCTGGCAGGCTAAACAAGACCATCCTAGGTAAGCGGTGACCAGGCATACGTAGCACGTGCCCGAGCCAACGCAACTTATTCGATGCTATCTGTTATTCTAGGAACCTAGCATGATTATCACTACCTAGTAATCGCCTACGCACATCATCGTTACGACACGCTGGTGTCATCTGACACCAGCAATGCTTCGCAGACAACGATGATCAAAGACTTGAAGGTGCCTCAGATCTTCAGACCGAAGGGGCCAAGTCTCACTACCATAGAACAGAACAGCCCTCACTGTGACCTTGTATACACGGCCTTTCAGAGGGAGGGCAACTCCCTTCTGTCTCCAAAGATGCCGCCGGTTCAAGAAGGTAGCTCTGGCTTTTGCAATGCGTGAGCCGATGTCAGTTTCTATGCGTCCATCATTGCTGACGCAGCTGCCGAGATAAGTGGATTGATAAACCACCTCGAGTTCCTCGGTAGCAAGGGTCAAGGGTCATCAAGTGGCTGGTGGTCCTGCAGCAACACTTTGCACTTTGAAGGTGCAAAGCACATACCAAATAATGGGACCACTCTGGACAGGCTATTCAGGGTTGATTGTGCCGCCCCAATATCGTCGAAAAGCAAGACGATATCGTCCGCATACTCAAGATCAACTAACCTTTCACCAGACAGCACTTCAATATCTACTTCGTAAGATTCCGCAAGGGAACAAGCCATGATAGAGTCCACGACAAAATTGAACAAAAGCGGGGAAATCGGACAACCCTGACGAACGTCACTTATGGTCGGAAAGCTATCCGGCTAGTCACCATAGACCCTGATGCGGCCTGTAGTGTTAGAGTATAGAGCACGTAGGATGTTCACATATTTCGTGAGTACACCTTTCCGCGCAAGCATTTCGAACTGAGTGCATCGACTTGAAATCGAGGAACACAGCTATTGTCGGTCTGTGGTCTGCGTGGTGCTGCTCAAGCACCTGCCGCAGCGTGAAAATATGGTCTATACAGCCCCGTCCTGGGCCGAAACCAGCCTGCTCTTCTATACTTCGAGATTCCCGTTCCACAGTGAGGCGACGAATGAGAATCCAGGCCAATAATTTTGTCACAACTGACGTTAGGCTAATACCCCTGTGTTTAGAACAGTCTGTGCAACTGCCCTTCTTGTATATTACCATCATAATCGATTCGCTCCATTTAGCCGGGACACTTTCTTCCAGATACTTACGAATAGGGAGGTCATCGCTTCGCAGGGGAACTCACCTCCATCCCTAAGTAGTGCAATCGAAGAGGCAGGTATGTTATTCATCGACACAGGTCCCGTTTACGGTTGCCTTGTTGGCGTTGAAACCGGACAAAGGTACTGAAGTTGTCCTCGTGAATAAGTCGGTTTATAAAAACAAGATGGAAGAGATTCTAAAGGACAAGTCAAAATTTCATATGGACGAAAGTGCAACCAACGTAACACAAATGGAGAAGAGGATAACCAAACATCTGAAGATACCACCGTTTCATATGATGATGATGATGACACAGGTGGCATACAACGCTCTTAAGCCGTTGGGCACCGATATTCCCCAAATGTATGGCCTACGCAAGATTTATAACGTTGCTACTCTGCTCGGGAAAGGTATCGTTTATGTTTGATGGACATGGCCTATCGACGGGTTGATGGTGTGAATATGAGGAGTCCCCTTGGCCCTCTGCTGGCGGACATCTTCGTGACGATGGTCGAGTCGTGCTGTGAGCCAGACCTCGGACGAATGTGACTTTGCAAGAGGTATGTGGGCAACACATTGGTGATCGCACCATCCTTAGAGGCGACTCAGTCCCTTTTCAGAGTTATGAATGCTGCACACCCGAATGCCTGCTTCACCTGTGAAGTTGAGGATGATAACCGCCTGCCTTTTCTGGATGTACTACTGACGAGGCGAGATGGCACGATACAGCGCACCGTTTACCGGAATGCTATATAGACCAGTTTGTATGATCACTTCAGCAGTTTTACACCTCTTCAATGCAAACGATGCCTTGTCAAAACGTTGTTCAATCGGGTCCGCAGTATATGCAGTACGAAATGCATCGAGGCTGAATTGCAATTCATCATACAGACCCTACAGGAAAATGGCTACCCAGAAGGTTTTATTAGTTTTCATAGCCGCCCCGCGGAAAGTGAACATCCGGTCGTTTTTACTGTACTATAATGCCTGTTTATCCTGCTACTACCCTTCAAGGGGGATGTTCTGGTTAGGCAGGTAGAACGACCCACAGCAGTTGCAATATGGCGTGCATTCGGTACCGCTAAATTCTGCCTTCTCTGGACAACCAAGAAGCTACCACTGCCCCCAATCAAGCCTGCTAAGCCGGTCTCCGCCACAGTGCACTGTATCTATCGATTCGATTGTAACTATGGAAGCAGTTGCATCGGCAGAACAGACCGTTGCTTGTATAAGCGGATTGGGGAGCACATTCCAGAGCGTATCATTAACTTGACAAGGCAGCATCAAACGGGACCTGTGTCGGCGAACAACCTGTCATCATCATCATTATACACGTTAGCT